GTAGAAATTTTATGTATGATCTTGAAATTATAGAAAAAGGAATCCAGTGCAAAAAGCCATTAAGCAAAAATTCTATGCATTATAAAATTATAGAAAAAGAAGCCAGTTAGTAGAAACTGTGAATAAAAAAATCACGATTTCTCACATAATTCATCAGTTTCATGACAAATATTTTACAGTTTTGTTCGGATCCGTAGACGATCCCGCAATCATCACTGATCGTTAATAATAGCGGCCGATGTAGAAACAACATTTAATTAGACGTGACATTCCCGAGCAGTGACGCATCACATCGTATCATTGCGCGCGATGTAGTGAGTGTCCGCTAGTAGAAGAGTTGTTCGGAGACGCGGCGACACAGTCGCGAATACCGGGTCCTTCTCTCTCTCACTCTCTCTTAGCCGTCTTCAGTCTGGTTATGTGGGAGCCAAGTCGTGGTGACGGCAGTAGTGTACACACGTTGCTGCCGCGGCTACTGAATCTCTCTCGTGGCTTTCGTTGTAGCCACCACCGTCGCGCTCGATCGTCATTAACGTCCTCCTTGTCCGGCCGCTACGATCCATCCGGTGGCAGACCCTCGCGCGGTTCCCTCCTCGCAGTACGCGTCGCCGGCCCGAGGAGCCAGGTAATAATCCGCTCTTCGCTCTCGCCACTCTCGGTCGCGAAACCCTTCTATCGGATGACCCAAAAGTACCGTTACTAACAAGTACCGCCGACCACGTGGCTCGGCGCGTGTTTCCACGGTCTTCAGGTTCCTCAGTCGAGTTGTGACCGCTTCGGTGTTAACCTCGGTGGGTGAAGCGTCGTACGCGAGGTCGGGAGTGTCGAACCTTGGAACAAGACGGTCTCCTCCTCAGTGTTCTTTTCACTGTTGAACGAGAGTAGGACGAAGCCAGAGAGAGATTTCTTCGAGGTGAGATAAAGACAGAGAGAGGGGGGACCGTGTGCGAAAAGTGGGGAGAGTGTGAGAGAGAGAGAGTGATGGTGAATGAGAGAGTGAAAGAGAGAGTGTTCGCTGACTGGCAATGTATACCATTGGACACGTTTGCGGCGTTTGCGCTCGCTCGCGGGCTGCGTCCATCGACACCACTAGGGTGATCGCACCTCCGAAAGCGGGTCCCCGTTGCAGTAACTATCCAACGGCGTACCATTTCCTAACGAGCATTGCGTATAATATTGTACGTACAGCTATGGCCGATATTATGTCGACGCACTTTACAATGGATTATCGTCTTTAACACTAAACCGCCAGTTTTACTATCTTTATGTTACATTTATATTTTTTAGATTTGAGTGCAATTTTAGAGACCGGTAAGTAGGGGTAGAATCAAGCTCAATATGTACATACAGTTTGGGACAATGCATCTCCAAAAGTGCATTTGTTTGATTAATATAAATGATGTATTGATATAAATATTTCATACTACCTAAAAATCCGCAGTCTACTAATAATCACAGAATACTGTGATATATAAATAAATACAAAATATAACAAATAAAATAGGATCTAAAATATAGAGGGGAGGAGAAGGAAGGAAATTGGTCAAGGAATGTATAAAGGAGTAGGAAGGTATCAGAATTAGAAATGTACTAGAAAGAAAAAGAATGGTTTTAGTATATGAAGAATGCTGCGGAAACAGGAGATAAGAGAGGAGGTAACGAAGGGGTTGATGTCGCGAGATAGAGGTAACCAAAGACAGGTAAATAACGTCGTTCTCTTTTCTTCGTTTTAATACATCGGTAATCCAGGCCATAGTTTGAAGACGAATCTCGTGCAGAAAGTGGAAGGGTAGGTATATGTATGTACAGTGTACACACGTTCTGTGATAATATACGTTGCATTCTGAGAAGCACGTAGAATGAATACGTGTTTTACCGTGATATTTGCGTACGTCGTTCCGCAATAAGGACGTTATACAAATATGTAATATTCTCTTCCAAGATTATACGTATTGCCATATGCGATGTTAGCGACAAACGTATTCTATTTCATATACATTTCGGATGAGTATTCAAAATTATTATTATTACTGGATTGCAGACTTTTATGCAAATTAAGGTATTTACAGTAACAGTTTGAGTGTAAATATGCAAAATTGAATATTTATAATATTTGTTTTAAAACATTATAGTTTATAAGCTTGGCTGTAAGAAAGAGACTGTATATATTCTTAAGCCTAATAAGGCGAGGATGGCCATTATATATGCAATACAACAATATTTGTTTTAATATAATGAAATCTGCAAAATGAAGAATAAAATATTTATAGTACCTATTTTAAATAACCGCCTTCTATCATTTATACATTCCCATCTGCATTCTGCTTTCAATATTTTCTATATTTTGCGTTTTTAATAATGCATGCACTGCTTATATTTTCTTGATATTCAATTTTCTTACAAATTCATAAAACACGCAGTCTAATGATTATTATTCAAATTAGTTATTATAT